GACTGGATTCAAAACCAAAAGTGATTTATTGTGCAGCCTTGGTTCAAATAGAGATCATAGTGACAAACCTTAAGAAACCCACAGCCTCTTACCTAAATCTCTGTCACTCTGCAGCTCTTTTGTAATCATTATCATTGTCTTTGAATCCCCTTGGAGTGAAATATTTCAGGTAGGTCCAGCCATGCATTTATTAAGCTGTCTGCCTACCAGAATTATGTTGAATTTCATTTTTCTGATGTTGTCAGACACTAAAATGACTAAGTCTTGCAGCAATCCATATTTCAATTACTTGCAGAATCTCATGATTTATGAATTTGCTTTCATCACAATAGGTTTAAAATATGTACATCTCAAAATGCAAACAATTCCCATATATGCTTGCAAATACACACAAGCATGTATTTTCTTTTGGCTACTTTATGTTCTCTGTCCGGGTGATGCACAAGAGAGGTAAGATACCAAAAGCAGCTTCTTTCTTTCTTCCTAAAATCAGTATTGGTGGATCTAGTCAACACTGACTGTTATTTCCATATTCAGTTCTTTCATAGACTTTGTTGCTGTTTGCTATTCAGTGGGTTAATAAACTTCTTTTCATTACATGTATAGAAACGGTTTGGAGTTAATTAGGATTACAAAATATTTTTCAATTTATATCTTTCTGATATCTTGGTTCACTATTAGTACCATTCTGATGTAGCTTTCTGGAAAAGCTCTGACAAAACCTCCAAAACTGTCCATGGATGCAGCAGGATCCGTTAGAGGTTATTTGGGTAAATGAATCCATACAGAGACATTTTGTAGTAAATACTCAGAAATCCCTTCAGGGAAAAACTGGAAGCTCTCCCATCAGTTGTCTCTAAATGGCCCTGTCTGGATTGCAGGTATGGCACAGCATGTTTTTTAGCAGCATCATACCTGGGTTTAGTTAAACTGACAGGACTACACCAGCGGCTGTTACACATGCTGCTTCTCTGAGTCTTACTCGGTTAACATGGCCCTGCCTTTGAGCGCACGAGGCATCTTGTCGTCAGCTGCCTCCTGCCCACACGGCTGGCTTGTTTCTTGCTCATAACGGCAGCACAGTGGCCAGGAAAGGGTAGTTCCCCAGTCTCTCAGGCAGAGCGCACAGCACAGAGTAAAGACCCAACAGGACCTGCTGCCCAGATGCCGAGTGGGTGCCTAGACAGACAGGATGCTCTAGATGAGTAATAGCCAAGGAGAACTTATCTGAGTGCTCTAGTTGAAACAAGCCAGCTTCCCAAGCACAGAGAACTCCCATGGCACGGCCTGCTGAGTATCAGTCAACCAGTTCAAGCTACCACCAAATGTGGGTGTTCATCTGGGGAGTCTCAGTGGCATCTGTCAGGTTCAACTGTCCAAACAACTTTCAGGTACCACAGCCAGATTCAGAATGGTATAAGAAAATATGGGGGGGGGGGGGGGGGGGGGGAGGATAATGCCAAATGCCTAGAATAAACAGGTTCTGACTTGCTGCTACCACAGAAGGATTTAAGTTCATGACACAGCTATGAGGTCTCAAGCTTAAATGAACCATCAAGAGAACGGAGCTTGTGAAGGGAGTATGATGGATAAAAAGCTGCTTTTTATATTGCGTTGGCACCAGGCACCCCTAGTGTAAGCTATGTAGGCAGACACTGCACTTTGTGCCATGACAGCCGGTCCGTATCCTGACTGACAGAAATGAACAAATAAGGAAAAAAAAAATTTCACTATAAAGAAATGAGCTGTAATTTTGCCTAACAAAAGTTGACTTGTATTGTATAGTGGCATTCTATAGCTCACAGAGCAAGAGTGGATCATCACAAAGGCTTGCAGGAATTTTTTGGCATGGTGTTGTTTGCATGAACATGAAGATTGTAATCGGAGAGAAGGACAAATAGGCAGTTAAAGGCAGGATAGCTGTCAAGGAATGATGTCTATAAAAGCTGACAGAGTAAGGCTAAGGCACAGAGGGCCTTTTAGAAGCGACTGCAGACTTGTACTCAGCAGTAACAGTGGAGTGGACGGAAGGATATGGGTTGTGACACCGAGGTAAGGGAGAGAGGGGGACAAAGCAAAGGGAGGGCGATGTCTGGTACCAGTAACAGTGGCAGCTGCAGTATATTCGGCATTGAGGTCCCATATGACAACCTGGCTCACAAGTTTGGTGCTGCAGACAGAAAAATGTCCAGCTAGTATAGCATCAGAAAGCATAAAGTGGGAGTGATGTCTGGAAGCTTTAATGAAGGGCAAACAGGGAATCAAAAGTCTAGGAAGAGTTTAGAACTGGCGGTTTGGTGTTTGTGAACAACATTTTCTGTTTAACCTGACTCTGGCAAACTTGGAATTTGGAAATTCCATTTCAGGAAAGCAGAACCGAGTTCTTGCCACAACAGTTATAGTTAGAAATCTGCTTTTGTCTCTCTGTAAACATTAAGTCTAGCAGTAGATGTCAGGAGTTGAGAGTGATATAGGATGTGCCCCAGAAACTCAAAGGACGTTTGGATCAAGAAACATTTAAGCCATCCAGAGTGAGAGTTAAATCCTGACAAGCTGCCCTGTGGGGCCTTCATTACGAGGTTTGAGATGTGGCTGAGCCTCAAATACGGAACATATTCCTGCAAAAGGATACAGACGCCGGACCCACTACTGCCTTGCATCTGAAGAGAACAAAGATGGAAAAAACTTAGCACAACTTGGACTGTTTCACTTCCTATTGCTAACGAACCTCTCTGCCGCAAGCAGCTGAAATTCGTCAGTCGGAGTCCCCAACGCCCCGCTTAGGCTCGGATGCTGGCTGTTGCTGTTTTTTTTGTGTTTTTTTTGTTTGTTTGTTTGTTTTTGTTTTTTTTTGTTTGTTTGATTTTTTTTTGTTGTTGTTGTTTTTTTTGTTTGTTTTTTTTTTCTTCTTTATTTTTCTTAAGATAAAACCGGTAGCCCGCCGGCCGTGGCTCGGGGCCGCGGGGCAGCCGCGCCGCTCAGCAGCGGGGGGGGGGGGGGGGGGCGGGGGGGCCGGGGGGGCGGGGCTCCGCCCGCTGCCGGTGTTTGAGCGACACCCAGCGGCGCAGCGCGGCAGCGGCTGCCCGGCGCCGCCTCGGGCCCAGCCCCCCCCGCGCAGGGGGGCTGAGGGGCTGAGGGGCGGCGTTCGCCTTCCCGCCTTTAAAGCCAGCTGTAATTCTTCCAAGTAACTTTAATATTTGTGCAGCTTTTCAAACCCACGATTTGGGCTGTAGGTAATGTTTTAATTTCGACAAAGTTGTGCCGAGTCTTTACTGCTCCCGAGTTTAGTCAAACTTGACTTAACTGGTTTAATAAAACAGTGGGGTTCATAGATAATGTGACATTTACTCAGTGAAGGTTTTACAGTCTATAGTAGAGAAACAGGTAGCAGTGGTAATATTGAATAGAGAGGAAAAATTGCTTCCTGATAATAACCTGACACACTCTGAAATGTCTTTGGACACAAGCTGACTTACGTGGAGCTCCTTTGAACAGGAGTGGGGAGAGATGCCCAAATTCTCTATCTAAATCCTCCCATAAAAAGTTGAGAGCTAAGATGGTACAAAAAAAAAAAAATACACTTCTTGAAATAAAATTAATATAGACTTATGCATGATTAAATTAAACATGCCTTCCAGTTAATGAAGAATAAGTTCTTCATGAAATAAAGACAGAGTAAAATACTACAGTGTTGAGCACACAAAAGGAGTCCGGATTTTACAAAATGGCCAAGAATACTAAGCGCTATTTTGTTTTTTAGTTTAGTCTGAAGCGTGAAACACACAGTGCTTAAAAAAACCCAACCATAGACTCTTGTCTTCATGCATGAGTCATACAGTGTAATCAGTACTCACTCCAAGTAGCTGCTGCACTCTTAAACACTTACAGTTTACTGTTAATTTTCACTTTAAACTTTCTTAACAGGGTGCAAAAAATAAATTGCCTTCTGAAGTCGGTAATCCACAAAATGTCTCAAAAGACACGAGACTACTTATGTGTCTAAAAAATAATTCATATAATGGGAAAACTGATGCTGGAATTAAGTAAGAATACTTTTTCAGTCTGAATGGTCAGAAGAAAGACAAGGAAGAAAGGTATCTACACACCCTGAAAGAACAAGAACACCTCTCTGTGTCCTCCTTTCTTCCCCTTTCAGACCCCTTTTTGGAGGAGAAAGGGGAAGAAATCCCATTGCACAATTCAGAACTGTGGAAGGTGCACAGTTCTAGCAGGAGTGAAGAAGAATGCTGTTATTTCCATCTCCCTTTCTCTGCTTACTATAGCATTCTGGGTTGTTTTGTTGTTGTTGTTTGTTTGCTATTTTCCCCTTAACAAAACACGAAAACTAGCAAGTAGTCTGGAGTATAAGTCTCCTGCTTAAATTGCTGATTTGACCTAAAACCTTAAGACCTTATTGGAAAGGATTTTGTTCTGGGTGTAGATCTGGCCAGTGCAAAGCAGATGGGCGTTAGCAGGGAGAAGTGACTGCTCAGGTGGCAGGGACAAGGCTGGGTAGCCCTGTTTTAAAGGCCAGGGGTGCATGTAAGTGTGTGGCAGGAATAAAGGTCTGAGGTGCACAGAAAGCAAATGACTTGTCCAGAGTTGCACAGGAAGTGTGTGGTAAAGGAGCGATCAAGTCAAAGAGAGGTACCTGGTCTAGCAAATGAGCTCATTTTTAACTTTCCCTCTCTACTCTAGAAAGGCCATTTTTAGCTCTGGCAACTCAATGAAACTTTAGCAAAAATTATGATTAATTTTGCATATCTGGTTTCTGTGAGATCATTGCAAAGTTCTGTGCTTTTATTTCTTGGATGCACAATTAATTAATCTGCTTTTGTTTACATTATTTTTTCCTTGTCTTCAAGGTATAGCACTTCAGCACTTTTGTTTTTGCAAAAACCCAGGACTGCAGCTTCTTTCTTTGTAAAGTTCTAACTACTGCTGCAAGGAACATTTCGTTTCAGTTTTTAGTGGCTGAGCTTCATTGCCGGAAATGACCATAGTGATTGAAGTTCCTCATGGCCTGAACACAAAAGTGACTTGTAGCTTGGTGCACTAAAGCAACACTTCATGATCTATGGTGACTTTCTGCCCGGGGAAATATGCAAAATCCTGGTGCACGTGAAAACACAGTCCTGAAGTCCCAGCCGCCTCCTGAGGAGCAGAATTATGGAGCTGCTGCAGCACATGTGAGACAAGGTCCATTTATGACTGTGTCAAGGAGCAGCCCAGCAAGGAGAGATTACCTGACAGCTGCTGTGCTGTGCTATGCAAACTTAATAAATTTCATGGATTGGTTCATTGTACCAGGTGAGAGCCTATTTTCTTCTTCTAAGGAAAAAGAAATTTAAGTTCTCAACAGCTCTACTTACTCTGTAGTTACAAATGCTTTCTAAAGTAAGTATATGCTTTATGTCTTTTTAATCTTTCTCACTTACCTGCTTTAGCCTGTTGGTCATAGTTTTAATGAAACTTCCAGTTATAAATCTTGAAATAACAATAAATGATGTATTAGTTATTAATGGTTAGTAGAATACTTATAAAAATCACATCTGTTAAATGCTTAGGATTCATATTTTTAAATCTAAGTCTCTTATAAACAGACGTTAGCATACAGAGCAACTAGTCTATTTTTGTGTCTGGATTCTACAGAGATTTGACTAAGAAGCTTCCCTTTATTGTATACAGCAGCTTACCAGGCCTTCTTTGGCTCCAGTAGATTAGATACGGTGTTCCTTTGTCTGAAGAATACTGATGCCATTCCCCCCCTTAAAAGTACAAGAATTATGTTATCTTTGTGCAGGTCTGTTTAGAGGAGGATTAATTTCCTCATATTCTGCTGGAAATTGTGTGATTTCTGCAATGAAGAGTATAACATGATTGTGTAAAGGGAACAGTGACCTACTTCCTTAGGCATCACCTACCAAATTTACCACTTATTTTCTAATAAGTAATATCCTTCTTCAAAAATGTGATTTTTAAATTTATTTTTTTTAACCTAGCCATGAGCAGCAAAGCATTTCTTCTAGTAAACTGTTGAGATACCTGCTTTTTCTTCCCATGTAATCTGTGGTCTGTGGAAATTCCTCTGTTTAGCATCATTCCCAAGCATCTACCATGATTCCAGGCATTGGATTTATAAATTATGAGGAAACACTTGTTGGCAGCCTACTATATTTTACTTTGGAGTGGCCTGGAAATCATAAGTGTTTTAAAACCTTGAAAAAACCCAAAGGATGGATTGTTAAATTTGGAATTAATATCTAGTGACAGTACACAAACTATTTTTACTGCTTAGACCATTCAGAAATTTAAGACATTTGGTCAGTATCTTTAAAAATTGGAAAGTTGGTGGCTTTAGGAGTTTAATCTTTTTTCTTTTGCATAAGTCTTAACCACATATATAAGAGGGAAGGAAACAAGTAGGAGTGCATGCTGAATGATACTGTAAGACTGTTACTGAAAAACTTAAATGTATGGGTTTTATTGTCAAGTAACTTTCCCTGGAGAGGGGTAGGGGACAGGAGAGGATGAAAATATCTTTGAGCAAGAACTGAGATGCTAGGAGGGTATACACTTGGAAAGATTAAGTGCAAGCAGTCATTTGGCTCATTCTAGGCTTTGAACTATTCTTTGGTGTCTGTTCATGCTAAAAGCTTCAAACCTTCAAGAAGGCCTGTGAAGTAAACCTTGTCTACTTGCTAACAGACTCAGTTTCTTGTGAGTGAGGTACCCTCAGGGACATGTAAGAATTCAAGAGCAGAGGTGGGGATAGCGTCCAAGACTTTGAAATACCAAACATCTATTTTACTTACAATACATGTCTAAAACACTTTTTAGTTAACTTTATGACCTCTTGGGCTGTGGGGGAAATCTGTAAGTTGTTGTCTATATCACAATATACTGTTCATCTGCTAGAACTCAGCTGCATTGCAGAATTCTTGCACCAGTACTTTTGAGTTTGGCTGTCCATATGTATGTACATATTGTGAAATATAAGTTAACCTGAAAGTGAAGAAGGAGAGGCTTGAGTATTTGTTTAAAAGTAAGCTGGTGGCAGTTATGAAGTTGTGGTTTCCGGCCAGTTTTGCTCACAGGCTTTGACAGAGTTTGCATCAATCTTCACACAGAAAACAAGCTCTTCTACTTAATTGTCTGCTGGAATCGAGTCTTCAGCTTGTTAAAAATGGTGATCATGCAGGATTTTGCCCCTCTGATCTGCTACCCTGTTCCAAGCTGTTTGGATCAATGCTTTGTAATTTGCCAATAACTGGTCAGGCCAGTTATTTCAGTTATGTGGAAGGGATAACATTTTACTGGTGCTCAGGGTGAAAGTTTGAGATGAAATTGTGGTTCAGTTCAAGTCTTATGTTAGCTCTGATTTCTTCTAAATATTCTATTAGTCCAAAACTGAAGTTCTTGTAATACAGTATCTGTTGATAATCGGCTACCAGAAAGAATGGATACAATTGATTGTCTTGTTTTAATGATGCAAAATGTTTGAATGAAATCACCAACTTAAATTTCTGAAACCATTAGGAAAACCCCAAATGCAGAGTATGTTCAAGAGTCACTGAGAAGCATCTATAAAACCCCTGGTACTGCTCTTAGGCCTTGATCTACACTGACAAGTCACATCAGTAAATAGTAAGGAGACTGATTATGCTGCAGCCATGGGGACCGTAGGAGAACATGCCTTTAGCTTTAAACTAGCTGGATCAAGAATGCTTTTAAGTGGCTGCAGCAGTATAGTATAAGGCATAACATGTAAAATACACTGTAGGAGGAGAACAGGTACCTCTTGCTAACTGAGCTCCATTCTGCTGCAGATCAGCTTCTGTAAGCGTAGCAGTCCAGTTACACGGGCCTTGTTTTCTTAAGTGGTGGCATCATCCTCTTAATAATGTTTTGATTTTGACTATTTTGGCAAAACTAAAGCTACATGAGAAGAAATTTCTTTTTTAATTTGTAACTTTAAATATTGAATTAAAGGTATGATTATTCAAAGCAGTATCTTTGGCTATTTTAAATTGTTTTTCAGGATTATAATGCAGAAATGCAAGATAGTTGAGATGGTAGATCTGAAGTCTTGATGTGATGTAGAGGTCAGAATGACCTTTTCATCTCAACAGCTTTCATATATCCTTGAGGTGCCAGATCCATGGATCTTTCCTCTGTTGCCTGTGTGACTTTCTTCCACACTTTTTGACAACTCTTCTAAACTTTTTTCACAGCTATTGAATGGTTAGAAATCAAGGTGGAATTTCAGTCAGCTGTTTATCACAAATAAAAATTATCACTTTTGGTTAAGTTTGTCTGTTATTGTGACCACTAAAACTATTAATTTGTAAATCCACAGTTATCTATATCTCATCTGATCTCTGCAAAATTGTCGTAGAAATATAAGCAGAATTACATGATCGGAACCATCATCTGAATTACAGTAGTATTTCCCTGGCTGTGGGCTGATTTAGCCACTATTGGCTAATGAAGACTGTAGATATTTGCATCCTGAAAAATCCATCAGGCACTAATTTGAATACTGTATATACTGAAAATATTAACAGTTATTATTAACAGAAGGAATTCCAGCTCGTCCTAACATTTTAAGGTTATTAAGAAAATTTTAGGATTAGCTGCGTAAAGGTAGCAATCTCCTGGCTACAAAACTGCCACTGTTTTGTTCCACATTGTGCCCATTAAACCTTGATCTGTAAACTATTTATGTGCTTACGTAGTAATGGTGCAAAAGAAACAGAACAATTGTCATTAAAATAGTGAGCAAACTGACTCTTGTAAGACCTATGTAGTGGAAGATCGTGAATTTCATCTATAGTGATTAGAATTTTTAATTTTCTGTGTATTTGTGCTTGTGGTAGAGTAATGGTTTACATATAAACTAGCAAGCTAAATGTGCTTCAGTTCTTGCAAGCCCTCTTCAAAAAATCAATCTGGTAAATTAATAGAATTACGAGGAATGAGTGGGGTACTTTGCTGTCATTCAGTGTTTGTCTCTTGCAGGGATCCTGTTAGATATACAGAAATACTTCAAGCTTAGCGATGGGGATACAGGTCTACTGCAAACAGGTAACAAAATCTCTTAAGTTCAGATAGTTTACTTTGCCTTGCACCTATGTGGTCTGTTCCTAAAACACTGTCTAGTTACTTGTTTCTTCTAGTTCCTACTTGTGTGTGGTATTGCTCACTTCCACTTGTGGGCAGGCTGACTATAATGCAAAACTGAAAGTCTTTGGTTCAGGGAAGGCTGGAGTTGAATCCTTCAAAAATACTACAGCATGTGAATCACAAAAGATGAGGAAATTTCTCAAGACTTACAGAACTTGAGCAATTCACATGTTGCATTTTTTGTATTTTTTTTTTAATCTTCATTTATCCTTTTCTAAATGTAAATCTACTGACTAGTTCTACAAATTCAGCCTGACTTTAACCTCTGTCCTAAAAAATAACCTGAGTTTGTCTGAGGGGTGAGGAGTATATAGGCTAAAAATAATTTGACCAATATTTTCTTTGCTCCTTCTTGGATTTTCAGTCTTCATCTCGTGTTACATGCTGACTGCCCCCATCTTTGGATACCTCGGTGATCGATACAATAGGAAAATCATCCTTGGAGCTGGTATTTTCTTCTGGTCTGGTGTAACGTTAGGCAGTTCATTCATCAGTGAATTGGTATGTTGCTTTTTTAGAGGGGACTATGAAAATAATCTGTGTATGTTTTGCAGGAGTTGATAGAGTCCTTCCCTGATCACATTTGGAAAAGCTATCAGTGAGCACTCACTCCCATGTGCAGGAATGCTTTACGGGGTGGTGGAGTCCAGCCTGGGCAACGGAGAACCCACACATTGCTGTTGCAATTGATGGGATCTTATTTTTGTCCCAGATGTTTGCTGATTATGACCTTGCAGCGTAGCAGTGTATTCGGCAAGCTTGCGGTCTATCAGCCCTATCCTGTAATTCCCTCTGGGTGTCACTCTAAGAAGTCACTACTATGCAGAAAGTAAAAAGCACAGCAGTGCGATGTGAGGGAAGCAGGTGTGAGTGGAGAGAATATAGACATATGCAAAAGGCAGTTGAAGTCTAATTTCCTCTGGTACATTTGATCCATTAAAATTCACCTCTTGAATAGCAAGCTTTATTTCTTGCATGGGCTGTTCTGTACTATAATATGTCTCTTGCCTGCAGTATTACTGGATATTCTTTCTTTCACGAGGACTAGTTGGCATTGGCACGGCCAGTTATTCCACAATAGCACCTACCATCATTGCAGACCTGTTTGAGGAGGGAAAAAGGACCACAGTGTTATCTATCTTCTATATCTTCATTCCAGTGGGAAGGTTGGTTTTCTTGCTAGTAACTGACCGGCCTTTTGAAGTTCTGTCTGACAGGGCCTGCAATTCGGTGTGTCCTGCGTCTTGATTAGTCATATTTTGATATGCATCTTCATTGGCTCTTCTAGAAAGATTTGTCACTTGCTTAGCATGTTCAGGTAGAGCTGGTTTGGCTTTTTTCTGTATTTACCTTGAAGAAAAATTTGCTTTTTTCTCCCAACATTTTTTAGGGAGAATCAGAACTCTGAAAACCAGTCGGCTTTGAATAAAATATCGAATCAATTCTAAAAGAAATATGTGCATGGGGATAGGTAATTTATTTCTGGGGTTTGGAAGACAAAAGCTTTTAGATATTTGTTTACTTGACAGATTTTTCAAGAATGCTGCAATAAACGTCTCCCAGGGAAGAACTGGAAGTTCCCTCTCCTCTTTTAGTTAAACTGACATCGTGTCTGAAGAAGAGGTAGAGAAGGGCTTCTTAAGTGGTTTGAAGGCATACTCTTTATTAAAGCAGGCAGCCAAGGCTGAGCCCAGAAGGCAGATTAAAACTAAAGGAATTCCTGCAGGGCTTAATTCATGTGGCTAGCAGAGGAAAGAGTAAATAATAAACTACTTTATGGGCTGTCTGATCTGGGTTTGCAGTATCATTCTACAGAACATGTATTCCAAGGGGAATCTGGGACATTATTGCCACCATCTCAAGTCTGCTCTGAGGAGGTTAGACTTTCTTTTTAATACTGGCTAGCACATAGACTAGCATAGACCATGAGAGTTATTTCTGTTTATCTGTTTTGAAAACTATGACAGAATGCTTCTCTGTGCTCTCCTTAGCTGGCAAGACATGTCCTTTCAGCCAGCAAGAATTCACTGGTGCTTACTGATTCTTCCTTTCTGTTGCTTACAGTGGTCTTGGCTATGTCCTAGCAGCAGGCATGGCAGATGTCACAGGTGACTGGCACTGGGCATTCAGGGTGAGTAACTCACTTTCACTCAGGGGCTGAGTCATTCACTGTAAAATCAGAATCATCACTAGGGTTTAGATTACTTATGTTCATTGTGTTTAAAGAGGTGAGCAGTGGAAGGACTTTCTACTGTCATGAACTGGGTGTTTAAGAGAACTCTTCCTGCAGGACAAGGGGAAAATTTATGCCTAGCTCCTGCAGAATGAAAGTAGGCATAGGTGAAACTGTACAGCAGCCAGGGCAGGTGCTGATGTTCCTCTTACCTGAGGACACACTTGGAATGGCTGTCAGTTCACCAAGACCTCCTTAGACAGAGGAAGCTGAAGTTAAAATGATCATTGTACTGGTAGCACCAGTATCATTCTTCAGGAAAGTAAAGAGAGTTTGTTTTCTGAAATGATGTTGGGAACAACTTCTGTTATTTGAAGGTTTCAAGAAAAAACCCTCTTTTGTTCTGGGCATGTCATCATGGTGTTTCTCCATACTGAGCGCCTAGTGCTTTGGAAGTACTTTGTGAGATCCTCCTAATTTATCTATAAAATTAACTAGCAAGTACAGGATAAGTGGGGAAGAATGTTTACTGGAATAACAGTCTGATGTTATTGAGATAGCACTGGTGACTGCATCAGTGATTCTTGCATTTGTGGTCAGAGTACTACAGGACAGTTTCCTTTCTTCACGTGTTTTTCTCCAAAATCAGAGGGAGCAATCATATATCTGTATGATGGGGAGGGAGGATGTATTATCTTTTTTCCAAAGTCACCATAAATCACCAAAGTCACTCTTCTTCTTTACAAATATGACCTACAAACAGCAAATCACATCTATTTCTGAACATATCTGCAATTTTCCAATATGTAATTCTAATGATGAATTTGAATTGCTGTGGGGTTTTCACTATAAGAAGAAAGTTGTCCTTGACCTAACCAGCCTTGTGCCTACAGATAACTCCTTGCATGGGAGCTCTAGCAATGGTTCTTCTGACTCTACTGGTCCCTCATAGGACCCAGAGAAGGACAGCAGCCCACAGAGCACTGAGCATCTCCGGCACAATACAAGTAGCAGCTGAGAAACCAGGTGTAGAGAGAACTGCCAGGACTACTTGGTGTCAAGATGTCATATCCCTTGCCAAGAAGTAAGTGAGTTGAGCAATAAAGGTTCCCTCCACTGAAGAACAACCATTCCGTTATTAGAATTATGGCCATCAAATCCTGCTCAGCTCTTTTGTATCACATGCTATATACAAGATGATTGAAACGCCATTAATAAAAATCTTTCTTCCACATTTTACAGGAAAGCTACACTGGAGATTAAAAATTTCTTTGCTTCTGCTATCCTCCCATTTTGAGGAGCCGGAAGGAGGCAAAGTTATGAGAGCAGTGTGCTCCTATTTAAATCCAGCTCTACTTGCTGCTAAGTTTCCCCTTCCCTCTTGCTTTAACACATAGAGTGAGCTAGATTGGTAAAAGTGCGTATTTCGCAGGTGTAGTTTCATCTGTGATTCTTGGTGCCCGAGGCAGGTTGGATCAGCATGTGTCAGGCAGTCTTTACGTGCTATTTGTGAGCCTGCTGTGCCTCTGATACAAGAGGTCAGAGTCTGCAGGACCCTGGTGCAGTTTATAAAGTAATTGTACATGTCTTTTGACCAGCTAACCTGTTGGCTGGCACATGACCCCTTCCTTTTAACCCCACAAAAATGAAAGTCAACACCAGCTGACCGGCAGGACGAGGCAAAGCAGTGATGGCAGCAGGTCTGTCAGTCCCGTCACGCTGCGGTCCGGGGGCAGGGAAGGACAGACGGACCCGGCTGGAGAACGGCAGAGGCCGCTGCGCGGCTGTGCCAGAGCCGGCTCACACAGTGCCCGCAGGCGGCTGCCCCGGCTGCTCGGTGTAATGCTTCCCCTTAGAGACAACCCCCTCTTGCTTTCCTGAGACCTTTGGAGTCTGTCTTTGGAGTGTTCCTCTTCTACACGATCCAGTGTTTTCTAATTGACAGTTAGACTTGCATCCTATTTGCATCCAGAACAGCGAGTACATTAGAGATCCAGATTGCTGGATCACAATGTGTAAGCAGCACAGTCTGAAGTGAATCAAAAATGAACCTTCCTGGTTAATGTCAAAGCGGCTTTCCTACGAAGACGTTCCTTACAACCTCCAGCAATGTTGTGAAAATAGATTTTAATTTTCTTTTCCGTTAGCAGTTGATTTACAAAGCATAAGGACATACTGCCAAAAACCAGGTGGTTCCGCTTTTAATCAAGTCCAAGAACCCTTTATCTTTAGAAGAGGAAGAACTAGATTTATATCTTAACAAATCTTCTAGCCTGGTGGTCACCTGGTCATTTGCAGCACTTTTATTCAGTCTTAAGATTTTATACCTCCCTATCGACCTCAAAGGGGACTTTTTCCTAAACTATTAGCTAGACAGAGACCAGTAAAAATTTAATTTTCTCCTAGAATAGGGCAGGAAGGAGACAAGATTTGGACATTTTTTTAAAATGTGTCTCCTTTGTCTGAAAACTCTTTGTGCAGACTGAGAGTCTATTTTTACTTAGGTAGAGGTAAGGAGTGCTTCAGCCACTGCATCTTGACAGCTTGGAAGACTCAGATGTTACTGTCATTTCTATTGGTTACACAAGCACCTTAGAAACATCCTGAGGCATCTAGACTTGCACATAGAACACTTTCATTTAGATACTAAGCCATTAAATTCTCACCCACTCTCTATTGTTGTAGTTCTGCTATCAAAAATTTCACAGCAATTGTTTTAGCAAAAGTTGGCAGTGAAATCTGCAAGAGACCAGGACTGGGATTTGACATGAAATCAGTAGGTCATACTCCTCACTCTAATTGATACTTTACTGTTGAAGTTGACAGACAAAGCCTCATCAAAATTCGTATCTTCAAGGGAGTGCATTTTGATTATACGATGTCTGAATGAATTGTTTTGTTATAGCTTGAAATCCTGGATATTGCAGTTAGGCTTTCCCTTTTTCCTCACACCCCATTCTTTCTAGTGTCTCTCATTTCTTTCTTTTAACTTTCAGTTGGAGTTTCGTCTGGTCCTCACTGGGTCTGACTGCCATGGCCTTCGTTACTGGAGCCCTGGGAATGTGGGTACCACTGTTTCTTTACAGGGCTCAGGTTGTCCAGGGCATTGTATCACCGTGCCTCCAAGAATCATGCAATTCATCTAACAGGTGAGGTGCGCATGACTGTGGAAACGTGCTTGGGAACACTGCACAGTGCTAAGTCAGTTTGTTTCCAAAGGCAGAAGGTAGGATGTGAATGTGAACGCTCCTCGTGAAGGCAGTTGGGTGTGAATGTTACACTAGGTTGCTTCCAGGTATGCTGAGAAACTCCTATTTTTTTGTTTATAATCACTTGGTTAACTGGAAGGATGATGCCAGCCTTATTTAAGTAAAGTGGAATGAAGCAGTATCAGGAACACTTGCAGTGAAAGGAGCTCCTTTAATAAGGGTATGTCAGCTGACAATCGACTGTGCACCCCAAGCTACTTGAATACTCATTTAAGTATGTTTAGAGCCCGTGTTTTGGTAACTTTCCTATTACCTTCTTGTTAGTCTGGTTTTAAAACTCCTGCCATGTTGACAAGGTCATTGTGACTACCAGCATAAAGCAAGCTTGATAAATTTGATCTAATATCATATCACATCGTTACATCAAAACAGGATAATTTGGTCTTGTGACTAACTGCCAGCAGAGCTCCACTTACAGAAGCTGTCCAGACCAATAAAGATTCGTGAATAAGTATCAAAAGTTGGATGGGCAAGGGGAGTTTACAACAGGAGACGGCTTTGAAGTAATCATAATACAACCTTTTGGAGAACACTTTTCCCCAGCTAGAAAGACAGTTTTTTTCCTTACAATGTTTTATCCAGAATAGAAAAATGTATTCAGTGTTCCTCTTGAGTCTTCATGGCTACCTTCAATAACAGTGGCCACTGGGACACTTCTCTTCTGTGTACCGACTCCCTACCAGTGGCCTCCATACAAGTGTCCCTACCTTTCCTCTGGTAGTATCCCAAATCTGGTTTCAGTCTTTGCCTTCGTGATGGATTTCCAAGAACTAACTGCTTACTACTGTCTTTCCAGGCAAAGACAATTAAAGGGAAAAGCAGTAATCATGCCTTGAGTGTGTCCTCTGGTAATTGGGTTGTTTTGCTTTTCTGCAATGGAATAACTGAGTCAACTCAAAAGTGGTTTTGAGCTGTAGTGTAACTGGATAGATTGAATAGTCATCCACAAGTACCTCAATGGGAAATGCAACTGTCCTTCCATGGATGCCACCACTGGCACATTACTTAATAGCAAATATTGTGGAGGAATGGAGTGAACTCAGGAGTCTGGCTCAGGGTAGGCAGAGGAGGAAAACTGAACAGTTTAAACTGTTCGGCTTTATCTGTTAACAGATACAGTTTAGATACTTCATTTTTTAAGCTGAAGGTGTTAGCCTATGTTTTGCTTTCTAATCCACCTTCTGAATTATTATTCCACAGTAGTGTTGCTAGAGCAGACATGGTCTTCAGGGAAGTAAAATGGAGCACCTGATAGTTTAACCTCATGTACTGTTTCTTACAGGACGCTTGAAAAATAACCTTGGCGTAAGTTAGTGCCAGAAGCAGCGTAAGGCCAGTTTTAGACTGTTATTCCAGGGGGATGTAAAGAAACGTAATACAAACAACCATGTCAGACCTGTAGCTGCTGGTGCTGGAAAAACTGATCTGCACATTCCCAGACCTGCCCAGGGGTACTTTAAGGACGTTTTCTCCTCTGGCTGTTCAGCAGTTGCAGGCTTTAAGGATCAGGGCTGTGTCACTTAGACTCCCTGGAAACACAAATTCAAATGGCACCACAGCTGACTCAGGTCTCAATCCTTTCAAAGTAAATAAATAAGACAGTATGAAGTTTTTATTCAAGTCCTTGTGCAGACACTTTTGAACAGATCAGACAGATAAGTGAGCATTCTCAGACCCTAAAAGATCTCCAAAGAGCCTTTTCCCAGGACTAAGCTTCCATACTTTCCTACTTGCTGTCAACTGAACTATGCTTGGATTTAGTTTTGGCTGTTCCCTTTTCTTTCAGCTATAGGTTTATTTCAACTGCAGTTTACAACACATGAATCTTCTAAACAGAATTTCATGAATGCTTCAATCAACTAATGTCACCTTGGAACTTGCCTCTCCCAGACAAATCTCTAAGATAGTTATTCTGCCTAGAGACAATCTATATTGTCACTATCAATCTATAGTGAGTGATGGATCAGAATCCTGAAGAACTTACAGGGAGAGTACAAATATGCTTAAAGTTTGTTATCTTGTATAGAAATACTTTTTTTTTTTTTTTGTAGTTTGAGTTCTTCCTAATCAGCCAGAAGGAAATTAAAAAGTAGATGCACTCTAGTTTAAAGGAATAGATCATATCCTAGATTGTTACTTTGCTTTGCAGTCAGAAAAAGCTTAGGAAAATGTACAGCACTTATTGTGTAGCACCCTGAAATATGTAGAAGCACTTGTGCTCAGAACAAAATACTCCTGTCCCCCATTGCCTCAGGAGAATTACAATGCATTAAACAATCAGTGGCACCACTGGTCTTGTTGCGAGAGACTTGCTTTGTCATTACGATCTCATTTGGGACAGAGAGAAAAGCATGTACAGAAGGCCCTTGGGAAGCTGAATCTTCTACGCTATTCAAACACATACTCTTAACACATGAGCTTGTCATTCCTGGAGAACACATTTGCAGACACGCAAACCTGAGTGGCATCTGAAATTCTGCGTACAGAAAATACTACATGGACCTCCCACTAATTAACTATTGAGTGTTCTTTGAACTCTTTTGGGAAGTGGTAGATGTTTTCCAAAGCCAGAGAAGTGACTCATCTCAGCTGTGCTAACTAGAGAGTTATAATTTAGATATATATATAATTCCATGTGATAGGATCTCTTCCAAGACGGCAGATTGTGATACAGAGTTATTCCATCTGTGTTTTCAGGATGACTGAGTAGATTGGTTCACAGGGTAACCAAGATGACTGTATCTCCCCTAAATCACTGGATGTCCAAGCCAGGTCATGCTGAGAAGGGTCCTCCTTCAGCATGGGTGTATAACACCTGCTCTGTAAATGGGAAAATACCTGCTCCATAGGATAGAGCCTCAGTTGCAGAGGCATAGCTTCAACTGAGGCTTGGGATTAAATCCATTTAGGAGTGGGAGGGTTAGATCAGGTGGAATAAAATTGAAGTTCCCCATTAAAGATTCCAGTGAAACTAAAGGTATAAGCTAACACCCATTTTTTTTCCATGGTATGGCCTTACTATGCTCAGCTGAATCCTTTGCTTTGTCACCAGCCTAATATTTGGAGGCATCACCATTGGGACGGGAATCTTGGGTGTCATTACTGGGGCAGAAGCTGCAAGAAGATTAAGGAAGATAAACAATAAAGCTGATCCTCTGATCTGTGCCACAAGTATGTTCATTTCTGCTCTGTGCCTCTACTTAGCTTTGATGGTGGCTGAGAAGAACATCCTTTCCGCTTTTGTAAGTGCTGATCTGCCTATCATTAGCAAAATGTCTTCGGGGATCCCGGGGAGATAGGGAAGGGGGAGGAGGAGGAGAGGGGTGGCTTCTGCAGAAGTCTCTGCAATCTTCTAGACCATTAAGAGGTTTCAGTGACTTGCGACAAGGTGGCCTTGCCAGCTAAGCACTGTGCATGCTGCTCTAACGCTGCCTGCAGCTGCGGTCTGTCCCGTGAGAGCCACGCTGTGCGTTATTTAGCCCAGTAAAAAGGCCAGCCAGTCAGAACATTGTAGATTGGGCCTCAGGACCTATACAGTCCACCCACACTAAAGAGGAGAATAGTAAGCCTATGTAGTTAGCTGCATAAAGCTAGAGTGTCCCTTATCCAAAATGTAGTTAAAGGAAGTCTCAATGTTATGTTAATTTTTAATACTATGTGACTAATTTAGTATTCTTACTTATTTTTGCTCTCTGAATACTTAACGATCGATGCACTTGTGTCTGTACAACACGCACAGTTCTTGCTAAGAATAATTTAGCCATCACTTTCAAAGCCCCAAACCACTAGCTGATCTTCAAAGTCAAGCTTTTGGCAGTGCAAACTGAACTATAAATCACTTAAATTCTGTTCTCGGTAAAGGGACAACCAGAAACTTACTAGAAACGATGAATAGTTCCAAAAACTCCCAATGTAAACCTTATTTTAACTATAATCTGGTAACAGCTAGGGAAAGACTCCAAGCTTTATTCCTGTGACTCCATAGGCATAATTACCACGATTAACATAAATAAGAGGATCCAAATAAATTTAATTACAGTAATCAGCAGTTCTCTGCAAAAGGGTAGTTTTTCAGTTTTTTTCCTTCTAAGAATAACACTTATTCAAAGACATTTTCCTTTTGACTCCTTGGGAGTGTGTACTCCTGTAGAAAAATGACTTTACACCAAAGGAAAAAAACCAAATGGATTTGTATGTCTGAGTGTGTGTACACAAAGCAAAAATGTGAAATCAAAGATTAATTTTAGCTTCAAGAGTAGAGATCTGAGTGCCAAAGAGTTAGCCATTTTCTTTTTCTGCTTCTTGGATTCCCAGATAGTCCTGCTCTGAGTATGCTCTTCAGTTCTTTTTTTGTCATTAAAGGTGAAGAACAACAATTTCATTTGCTAGTCGGTGTTAGATGAATGAATCAATATATGGGTTTTGAATTACCAAAGTATGCCTTTTACTAGGAGAAATATATTTAAAATGTTTCTCGCAAACAGCATTCTGTTTTCAAGCAGTGTGTTATCTGGGAGGAAATTCTGAACTGGGATATGGATAAGATAATTGTGTTCCTTAAGTTTCTTCCCATGGGCAGACCAGTTGGTCTTTTAACCAGAGATCATTTTATCTTTTGTTTGATGTGCTTGATTCAGATGTTCCAACATGGAATGTCAACAGGGTGCAGTAGTAATAAATCGCATGTAATCTAAGCACCTGATTCTTCTAGTACTTTTACCACTACAGCTGCTGAACTACTGCCTTCTCTGGCACCAGCCGTGCCTCTCCTTGCTCTCTAAACAAGATCTGACACTAGTCATACTGGTGTGAGAATTGGAGTGGCGTGCCAGCTGGTGCATCTAATTTGAAGGTCCCACTGAAACAAATCTTCCATTTGTGTAGGACACTAGCAGGAAGCTGGCTTTCCAGTCACTGTCTGCTCAGGCACACTGATGTTAGCAAACCTGTCTCCATCACTTCACAGCGCGGAAGCTACTGAAGCAAAACTCCATACTTGCATCAGTGTGTAATTACAGTGGTTTCTGTATGGTGCTTTCCACTGTCTTGACTGCTAATGAAAGGAAACAAGACAGGTTTAATCAGTTATGGCCAAAGCTGGAAGAAATGTTTCAAAGCGCAAGAATTTTCAGGTTAACATGGAAATATGGCTGGACTTCCAAGGTTTCTGTTGGGGCAGGTGAACTGAAGTGTAATGAGATTTCACTTCTCTTTCTGGACGCTCAGTTCTTGATTTCAAAGACTACCTTTGAAAAGACAAGAGAAAAATTACCTGGCTTTGTTATCTAAGAGGAGGCTCTGTGTACATTTGTTCCTGTCTCCAAAACAAGATGAAAGACGTGTGCTCTCTGCAGCGCAGCAGGTGATTTGGGAAGTCATGAGTGAACCCTGTGACTGGGAACCTTGGACAATATTTGGTGTTGTGGTAACTTCGATTTAAACAGGCCTATCTTTGACGGCAATGCTGTATCAGGATGCAATCTTGACCTGCAACTTGCCTTTGAAGGAGGCATTCTGCAGCTCTTTTCTCTGATACACCTGCCTGGTGTGGTTCTTTTTGAAAAGGCAGAAATCTTTGCTCACATACGGCGCAGCCGTATTGATTCCCAATCTTGTTGTTGAGGCACGTGACTGTTTAAAAAGAGAATGTGTGCTTGGCACTGACATTAATTACAATCTAATTCTCTTCATATTAGCTTTAGGTATGAATGTAAACAGTCATCTACAAAGCAAAATCCCCTTAAAATTTGGGACATTACTGTGGTTGTGTCCTTTGGAGACCAACTTTAAGTGTTTGTTAAAAAAGTTGGGGATCCTGGAGGAGGTAACAGCAACAAAATATGGTGTTTCACTCTTTTCTAGGTACACTTAGCAGATTAGAATGGGCATGACACAAACATGATTGCACAAATTAAATGGAAACCTTTTCTATGTTAATTCAAAATAAGAACTTGAAGCAATATGAGGAATATTGAGAGATGGTATGAACAGAAGGATACACTTTAAGTAGAGCATTGCTCTGTTGTTTTCCTGCCATCTTCAGCCCTTCTCCCTAACCAAGTTCAGTACTTTCAGGTTGTCTCCACCTGTTTTGGAGAAAAGAACATACAACCCTCTCCTCTTTATTGACTACAGGTTTTTTTGCAGTTGGATGGCTTAATATGCCAGCTATTCAACCATATTGCATTTATTCTGCACGAGGAAGTAGAAAATTGATACTGGTTTTAGACAGAATACCAAGATAAAATCCATAGAATGTTTTATTACCTTCCAAAACTGTCTGGGTTAAATTTTTCTGGTGACCCTACAACTGCAATCCACACGAGATCTTGTGAAAGAGAAGGAAAGCTAACAAAGTTGGGTCTCTAATGTTAATACAATTATATATGAAATAATTATTCTCTGGAGTATGAGGCCTTAACCACTGAATATCACATTTTCTTATCATGGATAATTTGTCATTAATTCCTATTCCTTCAAACTCTAGGTTGAGAGCATAACTTATTTCCTAAAGGTGAATTTTACTTTTTTTTTTCTTGCATTACGCATGAAATGCTCTTGTTGTTAGGGGCTTGTAGAGACTAAATAACTTGGAAAAAGCATGAAGAGAAAGGAGAACTGGAAACAATGATTTAAGAGTGTTAAACATCAGAAGGTTCCTATACAGGCAATAGAGCAATCTCTCATTTGATGTATAAAGGCAAGTAGTCATCTATTCCATTGATGGTATCTAGGAACAGTTTGAAAGTTCAGAACCTCCTGCTCTGACTGTTGTATTTGCATCTTGTTATATCTAAAATATCAGCCAGGATTTAAAGAAATCCCTTTGTTTTTTTTTTTCCCTTCGTGTTTCACTTTAACCCCCACTGTCTCTTGCTAGCTATGGCACAACGGACAGAATTTACATAAGTTCATGCCATTATTGCTGTGCAGCAGGATTCAACTGCACTTCTGCATTTTCCTGTAATTCCTCTGAGTACTTCTTGACACAGGCTGCAATTCTGAGTTAAGCAATATCACATTTAAAGTTTATTTATATGGAATCAAGGGGAAAAAAGGAAAGGAAGGTCCTTGATGAATTTAGATCTTCCAAGAGATTTCAGAGAGTAACAGCTTGAAATAAGACAATGAAGGGCTAACATTTTCTGGTGGCTGCAAGATTTGTTGTTGGTAGTCCTTACTGCCAGGTGGCTTGGCAAAAAGCTGAACTGTGTGATATTGCTAACCATGTTAATGAACACATTTCAATTTGTGTTTGGCACAAAGTTCTCTAATAAAAGGTGTGTCACTTGCTTTCCAGCTAAGACTGGCATGCAGCATGGTTTCTATAGTCTATAGGCTGCTATTGCAACAGCCATGGAAATGGAGAAGAATGATTGCATTCTGTCTCTTGAAATGGCAAGTTCTGCCAAGGTTGTATTAGTGGAAAGACTTGGACAGTGGGATGCATAAATGCAAGAGCTAAGACATAGTCAATGAGTGTGTGAAATGAGTGATATTTGTTATAAAACTTAAAGAAAACTAATTATGTATGGAGGAATATATTCAGCTGCAAATTAGAAAACCTACATAAAGCATTTTGAAGGAAAAGATGACTTTATAAAGGTCTATACTAAATATCTCTGAGCTTCAAGGAACTTTTTCTCCAGACAGGTTTGGAAAAGAAAACATATGAGCAGTACAGGCAAGAAACAGGAGTTAGGGGTATCATAGGAAGATGTGTAACAGGTCTGGTTCTTCTCAGGAGAATGTAAGCTACCCCTCTGAAAACATCTGAGAGTTTGCCACTGTGTCTTTCTTAGGGCTACGTTTTCATCAATCAGATACACCATCTTGACCAAGACCCTACCAAACAAGATGCTGGCACCTGTTGTTGTTATGGATTTTATTTCCTAGGTGCCATCTGATTTTGTGGCTTGTGTCACTAAATAAATTCTGCCTTCTAGAACTGCTCCAGCTTTAGTGCTTTCCTCAAGTATCAATTAGACTGTACAGCCTGCTCAAATCTATGTGCAGGGCTGGCTGAAAGAGTTAATCTTTACTAAGAACACAGGTGTAAGAACTGTTGGGGGCCCTACCCCTTTTCCTGATGGCTGGGTCTCCATCTGTGATGAATTAGGGAATTCCCACAGGGCAGCAAGGCTTCAAGGCTGCCTGTCTCTTGCAGTCCATTTCATTTTGGAAGTTTTCTCTTGGAAGGACCCTTTAAGTGTACTTGTACTGGTACAGAGGTGTTCTATTTGTTTCATTTGGAAACCCAAGCAAAGGAAGATCTTTGAGCACTTTTTAAACCCATGCTGAATGTTTCTCTTTGCAGGCTCTTGCTTTCCTCCTCTTGGGTTCAACAGGTCATTACAGTTTATTTGGGTGGGTGGTGTGTGTTTTCTGTTTTGGCTCTTCTGATGAGGATTTGTGATACAAAGCAAACCACCTACCTTCTCTGGTTCCTTTCCCCCCCTTTTAAGATGAAGTTAGTGTTTGTAAGCATAGACGGAGATGTTTAATTTATAAATAGATGGATATATACAGCAACTCTTACATTGATGAGGATAGTGAGCCTGAATTCATCTTCACAATAAAGAAGGTCAATATAGTGTGTGTAGTCACTGCTTTCTTCTTTTTTTGCAGATATTTATTGCATTTGGAGAACTGTTTTTATCTGTAAACTGGGCTGTTGTGACAGACATACTGTTGGTAAGTGCTTGTGAACCTATCTCCTTATTTTGAGTTTTTCAGCTTTTCTCGACACAGTATTGTTCATAATCCTGCAGCTTGGTGGCCAGAAGGACCTCTGCCTCCTAGGAAGAGAAGCATGAATTCTTACTAAGAATGCCTTATTGGTACCCTGGTAATGTTAGGGATGTAAGCCACAATGTACAGCTGTGCAAAGATGCCAGTAACAATATAGGTGTGCTGGTGCAGCAGTCCAAGCTCATTGTAAGCCCAGAAAGGAGGTGTACTGATCTGGATGGGACTTATGGAAGTGGAAATATCTAGTGCTTCTTGTACCCACACTAGTTTGGATTTTCTGTACAGCTCTGTGTTGTTGGATGTGTGCCAGAAAATGGTCTGCCTCAGAGAGGGTCACTTTCTGTCTACATTCAGAGATTTTTCTATTCGTGCTCCAAAAGTTTGAAAAGATGATCCAAATGATGGAAAGTCAATATTCTGTAAACTAAAGTTAGCAAATCCATTACAGTTCTTAATTCTGTGAACTATTAGCAAGTTCCGATATTCCAGAATAAAGTGCAGATAAATTCTAGCACTTGCAAGTCAAATTCATGAGTGGTGCTACACTGCCAAAGCATTAGGCAAGCAGCAACACTTATGAGAGTCTTGGAGATTGCAGGACTGACATGACAAGCCCAAAGAATCGCAGTGCATTATTTAATTTGAATTCTGTCATCAGTAACTTTCTTTAGAAAGAAGTGATGTGAAAAGCGCACATCTTGTGGCACAGTTAGTCTAGGTATCAACAAGCAGCTATTGATTTATTATTGCCAGGGCTTTTGGGGTTAGTTAATGTATTTGAGTTTTTACTGAAAGGAAAGCTTTGGCAACCTTTGCTTTATGCTATAGCTCCACAGTCACTAATCTGTATGTGTGTAAAACACGGGACAGATATTGCTGTTACTATCACTGAATTATGCAGACCACCACAGTCTTATGAAGTAGTTTGTATGACTTTTTTTTAATCCATAGTATGAACAAGCTGAATATAGTTTATCAGTCAAATGAGCAAGGAAATGGTCTACCTTGTTCATATCTAGTAATCAGACTGCAGAAAGCTAATTTAAGTACCAAACCCAGAGCTATTAAAATGATTGGCAATCCTTTTGTTGCTACCCATGGGCATAAGAGAAAGCATTTAAATTGGCACTATCTTTTTCTACAAAGAGTAGAGTACTGTATCACAAATGAGACCCAGACTTTCAACTTTGGAGAATCTTCTGCTGTGGGATCACTGTGTTGCAGGACGGTGGGTGTGACTGTAACCCAAACATTTCAAGCAGGATGCTACCTGAGAGACAGAGATTGTTGAGACAAGTGTGGCATGGGCAAAATGCTGATGCAGTTGGTCCTGATAGAAGGCAAGTAGGGAAACTGTGTAAAGCCATCAGGACGAGTGAGAGAAGACACAAAGGTCAGGGCAAAGCTGAACAGAAATTTCTGACTGTTTCCCACCCTCAGGCTAAGGATGGAAAACCAGTAGCTGAAGAGAGCCTAAGCAAGAGTCACATGAGCATTTTCCAGTTAATGTAATAGTTTTTCATTCCAGTCGAGCTCAAATCTATTTGCAGATTGCTACTGCAAACTCGCCTGACATAATAAATCTTTCATATAAGCTCTTTCATATAAGAACCACAGTGAATGCATTAATATGTAGCAGAACATGCAGCGATACACGATAACATGTCGCACAAGTTTAGGACAGTAAAGACGTGCAGCCTGTGGCTCGTGGAACACAGTTGCCTACAAGGCTGTCGTCATTGCCTGCTACCGCAGGAATTGAAAATTTACAACTGAGGTTGCTGTCACTGTGGTCTTAGTTGCTCAGATACAAATACAACTTGCTTGATAGTCCTAACAGCTAACTAGAAACATGTGGTAGAAAAGCTGAGCCGAGATAAAAGTATCTCTATTATGGTCTTCCATGTAAAGGGATGTGAAAGTATATAGCCAAATGCAGAGCACTGTCTAGTGACAGAAGGGACTAGCTGTGAAGCTCTATAGAACTCTCCTTCCACTGACTTGACCTTGCCTTTTTGACATGAGCCTGTTGATCCTCACACTTCATAGCTTGAAGAATCTTTCTTTACATTATGATTGACATGAAGGAATGAAACAACTTATATTTCCTGATTCTTCAACAAAACACTGCTGATATCATGTTCTCAAGTTACTCTTTCATGGTACTGCTCTCTACATGTAAGTTTTCTGCACTCTGGAATTTTAATAAAAAAAATAATAATTGCAGTCAGCACTAGGGAATTAGTTGTCTGCTTAAAAACTCAGCCAGCAGCAAGAGAGTTTTATTTCTTCTTTGACTCTCAAAGAATGATCAGAAACAATTATCCTATGAGACAAGAACTGTAGCCTTGAAGCAGTGAACAGGTGCAGAAAAACTATCACTGGTTCAATTTTTTTTTTTTTATTTTGCTTCTATTTCAGTTTATTTTGAAATCACTGGGTTTTTGCAACAGAACCAAGTACTATTACAATTAGCATTATTTTTACATCAGTTAGGGCACCATTGAAGGATTTTTTAAAAGTTTTTCAATTTACTTTTCTTTGAACTCTTACATTTGCAGTTTAATTCTCTCCTCTGTCACTGTTAAAGAGGAAGGTGACATCACTGAGTTAGATACTGTTGATGTACGATGGGGAGAGTAAAGTGGGTGATTACTGTCAGGTCTTTCCTTCAGTTCCTTTCTGAACCCATACTGCAAAGTCTGCAAGTTGCTGTGCTTTCATTCAGTTCAGTCACTCAGCTCTCAGCTTGCTTAGGGAATGCTGCGTCACATTGCAGCCTGCAGGAAGTCTGTTGGGAGTGTCATTGCCATCCTGGATCCATGTAAATCCGGAGGAGGAAGTTCTTGTCTCCCAAGTGACTGACACTCCTCATTTGTGTTTATTTTAGAATCTTTTGGTTTAAAGTACAAGCAATATTGCATCAGTTGGCAACAAGTGGGAAGGTGAAGAGTTTGGCGGAGCGGAGCTCTGTAGTGGTGTGTTCCCCCTAAGAGCAGACATTCAGTGTATGGCCATGAATGTTCTTCAGCTTGGATCTGTTGAATTTTAAATGTTGCTTATTGTTTTATCAGAAAAATGGTGGAATTCAGCTGAATTTGTGGATGTCTGCTAATTCAGCAGCAATCTTATTTGAAAGTTGTGTTTCACGCTGCTGAAAACCCATGGGTACAGTGTAATACTGCTATTACATTGGCTGAAGGGTGCCATAGATAACAACAGTAATTTCTCATTTTGCATTGTTTCCTGTGTGAACTGGTAGGATTTCTGATAATGTGGCTGGATTTGCTAATGCATGTTCTTATTTTTGCTGTGAAAATGACTTTTCTTTCATCCCACATGACACTACTAGCCAGACAATGTAGCTAGGAATTCATTTATCCTGCAACCTGTGGAGCTGAAGACAGAGGAAGATGCTGACTGAATGATAAGGACTTTCTTCCTTTGTGGCTAATACATCAAGATGCGTTGCATGTAGCAACCTTTGTGCCTCTTATTCAGCTGTAAGCATGAAGGTATCTACTGTACAATTACAGTCATAATGTGGAAGTGGAGAAGTGCTGTAGCTGCCTTGTTTGCAATACACTGGCTTACTGGGAGGCTGTACATGGAGTGTCCCTTATGAAATATGTTTGCCATCTGTGAGGTGATGGGACTCTGTCTTTTAGGTTTTTGGCAGCTAATAGTGTAGGAGGTGCTGGAACTGGAAGCTAATATGGGGTTTGGGAAGGCTACCAACATGTCCCAGTCTTTGTTTGGAAGTGCCCTGGGAGGTATAGGAGCGTTTACCAGCCTGTGTGTTCCATCTGGTTTTTTAGCTGACAGCTCTGTCACAGTCTGCAGAAGGATCTGTAAAACCTCCAGAGACAGCACGACAGGGTTTGCAAACAATATCTGTTTGGGGCATCCTGCTTATCTGTCAAGGCTTCTGGACTGGGATCTCCTAGGAGATGACAGTGTGTAGGATGTCATCTGCATCGCTGACATGGCATGGGTAACTGGGCAGTCACTGTGGACAGGCTGCATTCTATGGCTATTTCATAGTCCCTGTGTGTGGGAGTGTTTGGTTTCTTATTTTTCTAGTGAATCCTACTGTGCCTTGAGCTCTTGCATATGGCTTCCATTGTGCAGAAGAACCTGAATAATAGCACAGGCAGAGTTTGTATGAGACTCATAACTATAGGAAATGTCCTATCCTTCTCTTCCATTTTTCTTTTTACAGATTTGTTCTATGTGCCTCTTGTAGCTACATATAGGAGATACTAGATAAACGTGGTAAGGAAGTGGTGCAGGGCACTGAGAGAGCAAAAGTGCATTTATCTTTCCTCATGCCTGCAATGCCCACAATATATTAAGTACATGAAAATATTTGATTTGTATTTCTCAAACACAGCCTGTCATTATCAATAAAAGAAAAGAAATCTGAGTCTAGAACAAATGACACGATATCCTTGGAGAGCCAAGAACTGTCAGGTTCCAGTCTGGTACGGTCTGTCATAGCAAGGTCTACTCTCCAAGCTCAGTTTTCTACTGTACTTTCTTTATCTCTCTTTGTGTACAAGAGCCTGTTCCCAAAGTGCAGATGCTCAACTGGTACTCCAGGCACGTTCTGAGAGCAAAATCTGGGTAGACTACCTGCCCTCAGGCTAGGCCAAATTGTGCGATGACCACAGTGAGGAGGAGCTGTTGGACTGTTCCTTCATCACAGGGATGACAAGGATTTCAGCTTCCAGATCAGCCAATCTCACATGACTCTGTTCTTACACTGGCAGAGGACTGGATGCAGTGTGATGGCAACATGACATTAAAGTGCTTTTCTACAACTCTGAAGACATCTCCAAGACATCCCTGTTTTAATATTTATTATTGTTGAAGCACTCTATCTAAATATTCCTAATGAAAAATAAATGTTCCATCCATGGTTAGAAGTACCTACTTTGGAGACACTAGGAATGGAAAGGGATACAGGCTAACTGTATGTGTGCAAAGTAAGGAAGGAGGTTGTGTCTTCTAATAAAACTGCACTGTATAGAGTACTCTTACCGGGTGCAAAGATGCTGTTTTAAGATGCTGAGTGATTTATGTATTCAAGTTTGTGGCCATTTCTGGCTAAGAGGGGCACTGCCAATGTGGACTGGTTCTTGACTGAAACTGGTTGCAATCACGGGTGAGCAGGCTCCCACTGAATGGAATTAATTATACGAGCTCTGGAGAAGCTCCCTCTCTGAACAGAGGAAATTTGGCTGTAGAAAAAAGGACATCCAGCAGGGTGTAAGGCACGTTACTGCTTAGAAGACCCTGGCTACAAGAAGGGTTTGCTAGGCAGAGAGAAGAGGACAGATAGTCAAGTTGACTGTAATTTTTGCTGATTGTGTTGGGCGGAAATCTGTCTATTTTCTTTCTCATTTTAGATCAGATGCTCTGTTAAATATAAATGGGATTCATAGCCTTACTTCCTAAGGAAACAAGATTTACTATAGTCTGTGTCTGCTTTCTCGTTAAGTTTTGAAACCATGGATTTCAACCAAGTTTGATAAAAGATTAGAGACCTCGGGAAGACCTGAGTTCATACAAGCCTTCTGAAAATAGGCGACCTTGCTTAGAAAAATGATCCAAATTGGCACCCCAAAGAAGAGCTTCGTTTTAGGGAAAGACTCTGCAGCACATACATCTTGGCCAACATGAGAGAAAATGGTAGAAAGAGGTTTCTGGGGGAGAAACATAGAACATGAAAACCATAGTAATGGAAAAAGCTTGGCATGATACTTAAACTACAGGATGTAAATCAAACCCACTCAATGAATGGGTTTTTATCAAAATAATGTTTTTGAGGTGCTTTGATTCTATCTGTGCTCCAGTCTTCATACCAAGAATGTATGTCATGCAGATGGGGGCTGCAAGAGGGAAGGGAATGCAGTGCTACAGAATCCCCTGTCAAACCACCCCTGAATGCAAGGCGTTACATTAATACGGTTTATTGTCCTTCATGTTTCTGCATCTGTGCTACAGCTTTGTGCTTTCAGCGTAGTTAAAATGCTGTAACTTACTGGTATGTGTAGATCCTGACTGCATGTGACACTGAAGTATTTTTTGCTCTCATTCTCACAAGTGTAATAATCTTGTTGTCTTGGACTTACCCACCTGTTTTAATGTCCATTAATGCAGTTCCACTTACCCCAAAGATGTGGCATTAATGTTGCTACTTTGATATAACTACATCTTAGTGGTAGGTAAATATTTTATCTAATATTCTAAGGTCTCTTTAAACACAAAGAATGATATTAAAACTCTCATTTAAATGTGAGAGCAGGATCTTTTTTGTTTTTTTTTTTTTTTTTTTCTAAACACAACTTGCCTTTCATGTTAGTGTTTCCTTGCAGGTGGCTTTATAGATGCAATATAGGTTATATACCTTGAGTTTGTCTCTTGGTAAAACACCAGTCACCCTATTAATTAGAGTTTGAGACACTCTAAGTGATGTTCAGATCGGTTTCCAAAAAAATCAAGTTGGAGAATAGAGGACTGGGAGAATAATAAGTTATTTTGTCTCTGATATAAGCAAGTGGTTAGAAAACAAAAGGTATGAAGGTTTAAAATTGTTTCTGTCTCATTCTGACTGTGAATGCTTTCTGCATAAATGTATTATTGAAAGAGAGAGACAGAAATTATATGGAATCATTCTGTATTTCTTGAGGCACAGCTGATCTTCAGTAGCACAGACATAAAGCCCTTATTACCCCAAAATGACTACATTTCATTTTTAAAAATAGCTCTAATATGTGTGATGCTTTTCTGTTTTCTAGATCTGCACCACATCTTCAATTTGTTATTTAAACTGTGTGCAGTCAAAAGCATAATAATTTTGAGGTATTGTTGCTAGAGTAGTTGTATCTCAGGTGCTATATGGTTACAAGCAGCAAACTCCTACTGTCAACGCTGTCATCAAAGCACCATCAACCACCTCCTGGTCTGACAGGTTGGGCCCCCTCCCTCTGTCTTCACATGGTCTGAAGGGTCTCAGCTGGCATCCTTTATAGCCACGGCAGCTCCTTCAGGTTCCAGGTATCCCAGTTTCCCCTCAGCAGCCTAGACCAGTGTCATCAGAGATTGTTCTCAGAGGCTGTGAGTGCTGAATCTCCTTATTGGTAAATCAGTATGACTGCAAGGGTTACTGGCTAGAGGTTTCTGCTAGTTGCATGGCCACGTGAGTCCGTACAAACTTCTGTGAGCCTGCAAATGCAGGCAGGGGAGTCGTGGTTTTTCTACTTCATTGTTAATCCCCCCTTGTGTGTTGCTTTCTTTAATGTTTTTTTCCTCAACAAAACATCCAGTGTACTCTTTTGCTCAGGATTACTTCTCTGTCTCCAAACTTGTAACCAGTGTTTGAATATGAAATACATAAAAATTAATATATTAATCTCTCTAGTATGTCATATCAGTAGTAGTTGGCCATTTATGACATTTACTCTGTTAATATTCATTCTCTTGTGGGTTGTGTTTTGTTTCAGTATGTTGTGACACCAAGACGGCAGTCTACAGCTATTGCTCTGCAGATTTTGGTGAGCCATTTGCTGGGAGACGCAGGCAGCCCATATCTCATTGGGATTGTAAGTGAATTTTCTGTTTATTGAGCTTTCCTTAGGGTAAAATTTTTAGAAACTGAAAGACAGACACCCACAGAATTGCAGCCACTTCCTGGTCCAAAACTAGAAATTGCTCAAATTGGTGGCCTTGATACTAGAACACAGAGACATTTTTCTAAACATATTTACTTGCGTGCAACTTCTGGTCCTGTGATACTGCAGGTATGTAGCATATAATCCTATACCTTTACCTTTAGGTGTGAGTAGTTCCATACAGTGTGTAGAAACTGATTTTAAATTTGCAAACTCCTATATTTTTGAAGGCATACATTCTTGCAAAGACAATGTCATGGGTATTGTACTTGGATTTAAGCACTTCCTGCTAAGTTTGTGAGGAGTTTTATGGATATTAATCAAATACCGTAAAGCGTAAGGCTCTTAGCTCAAGTCTTAAAGATTGGAATCTTGCAATTGGTCAATGGTCTCTTGAAAATCAGGACGATAGTGGCTGCAGTGGTTACCTTTTGATACTACTTGGCATTCAAAGCTCTGGTCTCAAATTACCTTAACCTTGGATTCACATATTGCTTGAGACCTTATTTCTCTGCCCTCCCTATATTTACTTAAACTTAGATGCTTCTGGACAAAGCAGCCTAATACTGTTTTTTCCTTGCACTTCATTTGTTTTACTTCCAGTGGATGATATCTGTCAGTGTTGTTTCCATCCTTCATTATTTTTTATTTAAGACACAGTAATTCTGCACACAGTAGCTAAATGATTACCCACTTTGATTTTTCTGCTTTACTGGACATGGGAGAGAGAGTGAGTCGTCGTTGTTTTAAAGTTTTGTGTATATGGAAGTTTAAGATATTCACCTCAGGAATATCTGTTCTTTCTCTGTCACATGTTAACAGTGCTAGGGTTAGACAGGGCCAGACAGAAATGCCGGAGTGAGCTGTGCCTGTAGGCACAGCTGCTGCTGGTCCAGCCAGGCACGAGATCCCCCTTGTCCTCCACTGGGTGAAAAGAAGAGTCTCAACTGTGTCATCTGTCTGTCAAACAGCCTTCTCTCACTGAGAGATTCCTCCTGCTGGCTCTTTTTTTTTTTTTTTTGGCAAATGAAGAGACCACTTTGCTCATTGGTGTGTATTATGAAACTATTGCCCGTTCACTGATTTGGCTGTATGCATGGGTGAACATAGTAACTGAGTCCCCTGTGTCATGAAAAATGGCTGAAATGATATGCAAAAACGGGAGGTATCGTAAAAGCTGAAATGTCTTGTGCATTCTCCTTTTGACTACTCTTGATTTATGCTTCCTGCCTGAAAGATTAAAATGTTTGTATCTCTTACCCACTGTTCTTTGCCATCTTTGAGGCACAGGCAGAATTGAGGCTTCCTGTTGGGTGTGCTGCTGCATCCTGCTAGTAACTGTGCAGAATACTTCTTATGCAGTACCTTGCGTGCAGTTGCCCTAAATAGCAGCTAATCGAAAAGTGTGAAGACAAAAAAAGCTTATCCAGATGAGATTAATCTCAGGTAATCTTGCAACTTTGCAAAGAACAGAAACAATAAATCCAGGAATAAAACTGCTGTATGTCCAAATGAGGTCCTATGCAATGAACACAATGTTGTCTTCTGGAATGCTTCTGTGAACCAATACACCAATGCTGCCCATGTCTGCTGTTGATTAAACAATGAATCGTCTGCATTCATGTCTTGCCATTGTTTACTAACCTGCTTCAGCTAACCCTTTAGCTTAAAAACTGGCTGGAGGGTCAGGGAGTAGTCTTTTCAGAGTCTGTTTTTCTTCCCTCTGCACTCCAGAGATTTTCTTACTAGTCGTTTTAAAATTAAATTCATTACGTTTGTATTTTGGCCATTATGCTTGCTGTAGTCCCTAGGTGCCCATTTAGAGTTGATCTTGCACTTATCTGCCTAAACTGTCATAAATAATCATACTAAATCCAGCAAAGGTTGAAGAGTCTCGTATTTGTGTATTTCAAGTCACATAGTGTATTCTAACCATCAAGAACAAATGTGGGAATAAAAATGACTGCATTCAACATTCATCTTTTTGTTTATGCTAAGAAGAGATTTTAAGTTCCTGGGTTGTACTGAATCTTATTGAATTTCTTGAAATACAGCTTTTCTTTCTGTCTACAAAAATAAAATCCATGTGCATCATTTATAGCTTTTACAACCTCATCCTTCAGCCAGTGCACAAAGCAGCTGCCTGGTATCTTCTTCTTCCCAGTTCCTCATAATGTCACTCCATGACTCCTCGAATGCCTCTGGCTCAAAAGCAGACTCCACTCTTGTCTCAAATTAATTTCCAGCTCTTCCCTTTTTAATGAGTGTTGCTGCTTGTGCCTGAACTCATGCTAGCCCCCTGTTTCTATCCAGTTGATGCCGATTAGGGAGGTATAAAGTTATCAAATAACATCAATAAATGATAAAGGTCATTGCCAAATGTCTGTCCTGTGCTAGCTACCTGGAAATGGGCTAGAAAATGATAAAATGAGTTAATGCTTACCAAACATTATAAACATTGGTTGCAGTATTTCCTACTCTTGTGACTGGAGGCACTGAAGGTGTAAAAGAACATGAGATTCCTTGACCAAACAGAAGCTGGACAGCAGTGAAGTACAGGCCTACTCGGTACTGGGTTTGACAGACTTTGGTAGCAGGATTTTCGACCCCATCTGCACGGTTTTATTCTTCTCAAGCACCACGTTGTAAACAGTCTGTTTAAACCAAGAGAGGAGGATGATGTTATCCCAGATTAATGAGTCTCATTCACTCCCTAGATCTCCAATGCTATCCAGGCCAAGAATGCTCCCTCATTCCAGTGGAGTTTCTGGAGCATGCAGTACAGCTTTATCGTGTGTGCTTTTGTTGGTGTCTTTGGAGGAGGTTTTTTCTTCCTGACATCTTTCTGCATTGAGGAAGATCGTAAAGAAGCAGAGAGGCTTTGAGGTTTCTATATGTCTTTATAACTTTTAAACCTGTATCTGATTGCTTTCCTGTTTTAACACTAGCCATAATATTGGCTCTGTAAAGTTAAAACACAAATGTCTGCATTATGTTAATACTACGTTAGTTTCTATAAAAAAATAAAGGCAAAATCCCAGCAGAGTCTCAGATTAAACAAACCTCCCATCTTGAGCAAAACAGACTGCAGAACACACAAGGATCAGGGAAGTGCTATTAGTGACACCTTCAAAATGTGGCAGTATGTGGAGGTAATAAAATAGCTTTACTGTAAAGCACCATTACAGACCTCATGGAAGGGAGGGCGGTTCTTTTTCTACTCTGGTCTTTCTGAGCCCAGTAGAACCAGCCCTAGCTCTCTGTAATACTTCTCCCTCTTCCCTGAAAGAAGTCATATTCAAAGTGTAAAAGACTTAAAACCTGTTGAATCAGACAGAACACTGTCCTCAATCACCGAGATTCTTACAACTTCCTTCTTGGTTTTCTAGGTACCAGAAATTAACGCTGTCTTTCAAATGAAGATGAACTCTGGGGCAAGATTTGCAAAGAAGAAAAGAATATCCTCCCCTTTTTCTTTCCATTTTGCTTAATGAGATACAGCTAGAGAAAAGGCCAAATAACAATTCCTCCATATGGCAGAAAATCCTGCATACTGACTTTTTTCGATGCTTTTGACTGTGAGTCAAAAATTTCTACTGCATTGGCATATGGCAACCCTCCCCCGTCTGCAAAACAGGCACAAGTATTCTGTGGAGCTGGGGAGCTCCAGAAGGTAGTGTATAGAGCTGTTACAGGCACAACTGCTAACCTAAACAAGACAGTAGCATTTAAGGCAGAATGTCTCGTAGAGATTAGGAAAGGAGGCCTATGAATTCTCAGCAGGATAAGATTTGCCAATAGAATTTGGAAAACGTAGATAGTACAAAAAGTGTTTTCAGTTGTCTGAAATGACCAAGAGAAGCAGAAACTACCAAAGTCAGTGTCAGATTCAGGAGTGGAGAGCTGTGGTCATTTTATATGTTAATGACCTCTTTCTAATCCTTTGAGGCTTTTCAGCGTATCCTCAGGCCTTGGGTATCTCCTCTAGTGACTGAACAGTGGTAGCTGTAAAACCACTTAAATATAAGTATCCATTTGAGCTCTTATCTCTGAAGTGCTTAAGACTTTGGATGTAGTATCTATTGTCGTAAGATCATGCCAGGTGCCAAACAGGACATGATTAGTGTAGCCAACTTTCATTGTTTGACATGGTGTAGTTCCAGCAGCACCTTAAAGCTAATGCCTGAGGAAGATATTAGCAAGTGAATGTGAAGTATTATGAATCTTGCCTGATTCTCCCAGGAAACTGTAAGGATCATAAAGCACAATATTCCTGTAATGACTGTGAATATCTAATATCATTATAAATAGCATAATTCAGGAACTGCAGGTTTTTGTTTCTCCCTCTCTCTCCCCCATTTAAAAAAAAAATCTGTTCTGAAACCTGTCTTAAACCCAGGTAGTGAAATTTGGCCAGAGCTTATGCCATTATGGGAAATAATAGAGAAACTTTTTTGTGATACTCAGTAAGACTGTAATAATTGCCTTTAAAATAAAAATTGGTATTCTGAAAGACTGAGAAAATTTTTCTGGTTGTAAAAACTAGCCAGAGCCGTTGTACCACTGACTTTTTGGAAATTCATGTTGTGCCAGAGAACCTGTGTCCAAACAAGGGATTTTTACTATTGGATATGGATGCACCAGCCTATAGAGGTCCTAAGTGTTCATCTTAACATTTTTCAGGCAATTTTTTAAGCTACCTGGTAGCAATGTTTGGACTGAAACTTCTTGCTTATAGTCATCAGACCTGGTGAAATTTGTAGCATTTGCCCTCCAGCTAGAGGGACAGCAGTGCACTTTGTGCCAATGCCTCGCTGTAGGATGAAATTGGGAGGTCTAAAAAGATTCTTGAAGGCCTTCTCAACTCACTGCACACTTGAGGTTGGGCTTGCAAGAAGCTGAGGTTCATCTGGTATGCTGTTACTGTACCACATGTGCTGTTTGCCAATAACCGTATAGCTCTGGCAAACAGCTCCTTTGTCAAAAAGTTAAATTCTGAGGTAAGGTGAAATTCACCAGTGCAGTATATTGTACAGCAGTACCTTCACCAGGTATCATTTAACGTTACATCACTCTATGCCCAGAAACAGATAGAAGAGTTCTGGTGCACATCAGTATTTCAGACCATAAAATTATTCTGATTTCATTTAATTCTATACTTGCTGGTGACAACAGTGCCAGGTCCTTCCTTATTATTTTATCAGAATTTCTCAGAAGCTGCATGTAAGTTTACCACCATAAAGATTTTCATTGTGCTTCAAGTCTCTTGTACACAATATATAGACTTGTATATTATGTACAGCCTAATTCTGAAATTGTCTGGGAACATTAGTACTAGGTAATGATTTGATTTTGGTAAAGAAATCATTTTATAAGGTATCCTGATACTATTAAAGGTGTTGAGCTTGGATTTACAGAGCTCTGAGGATCAGTAATAAATTCTACCTTCTGTTGGCAAACTCTAGAGATAAAGTTTGCAATTGCTAAAATTATTGGCAGCTGCAACCCAGATGCCCCCAACACCACAGCCGATTCCTTGAAACTCAGGCAGACAGGTCAAGATCTTAAGAATCATTTTTCCTGTTATTCAGCTATGGCAGGATTTAAGCAGCTTGATAGTACTTCTCTATTGGTATGTTCATGATTTGCCCTGTAAACAGATGATCTATTTATCACTTTTATTAAGTCAGCATTAAATTCTTCTTTAAAAAAAATAAAATTATCAGAAACCGTATCTGGAATAGTGCGGAGGCATGCATTTGATATATGAGCAAGAGATGCCAAATGCTGTTCTGTAGATGGTACATGAAGTCTGTGACAAACTCATTCCTACTCCTACTCTTCTCTCCTTTGTGAAAGTCAGTGCCTAGAAATTAGCAGGATCACGCTGACTATTTCAATTCTGTCTTTTCAAATGCTTCTCTCTTTTCTTTGTAATGTAAGGGGAGAAGACTTTTATCTTTGTTACATTTTTTTTCTGCATTTTAGAAAGCCTAACATCCAAGCCAAGAAGTAGGATGCTCTGAGCTGTGCCTGGGCTTCCCTGGAGCTGTGCCGTCCTCTGTCTTGCTGAGAACTGCTGACGTAGAGGTTATGCAGAGGTGCAGTGCCTGTGTGAAGCAGCCCTGCGAGGCTCTGTCTCCAAAGCAGGGAAGCTGTTCCCATCATCTCTTTGGCCCTGTGTCTTAAATAAAGATAAATCTTCCTCAGTAGGATACGTAAAAGGAGTAGAGTTTCTCAAAATTTTCTGCGTGTCTTGAATTTGCTTATTAGGTGGCATCAGATTCTGTACTGAGGGGTTAACACAACAGTTTCTTAGTGCTGGAGGGGGCTCTTGTGCACTGTAGCTATTTAAGACATTACACTTTTTGCATGCTGTCAAAAACCTATATTAGAGAAAGTCCCGGAGTCCTGTCACACAGCCAGCAAAGGAACAAAAGTCCTCCTTAGGCATCAGTTGAAGTACCAGTTGTTTTCTATGGTTCCAACAGAGTAGAAGTAAGAAAAAGACGGAGGGCTTAAAGAAGTTACTAAATTTCCTGCTCAGTCTAGATTGGAAAGAGCTGATGCAGGAAGCTGCTGGTCTACTGAGACAGTTTGTTCTGCAACATTCAAGCTGCTTGGAATCTGTTCCCTTCTACCAAATGACTGACAATCAAACAAAGTGACAGAACTTGTATTTTCTGTAGCTGTTTATATATTCTGCTCCTACCTTTAACATTTCTTCTTTGCTCTTTCCAATCAAAATAGTGGGCAAGAGGTACTTTGGAACAGCTCCAAAAGGTGTGATTTTGTAAGTCCATTCAGGCAATGATTTTGATCTTTTCCTCCCCTTCATTCCCCAAAGCAGGGACAGGTGATTGGTACTGACCTTTAGTGCTGTTTATGTGGATATTTTTTAAACAAGTTTTAGAACTCTGCTTGGCATATAAATTGCCTTCAGATTCATGATTATTTCCAGCTTCTGCTAAATGCCTGTAAGAGCATCAAGTGGGCTGGACATGTCTAAGATACAACAGTACCATGGTGTATAACTGCTGCTCCAGAGTGATTCCTTCCACCAGGGATGGCATGTGTGATTGCTATCAGCAGCATTTTAATTGTCAGAGACGTTTCATGTAACTTTTTCTTGCCCTCCCCCTCTCCTTCGCAGACAAGTAGCCCTGTGCACTGCTCCTGAAAAGGGTTTCACTGCACCTAAGAAATCTTTCTGTACTGTGGCTGAAAGTGTGTAGATGGCAGACCACAGCTTTCGAGGCTACAGATTTATATATTCTGTCTAGGCAGCTCTAGCCTAAGAAGATCTTGTGTTTTATTCCTCTTTGCGCTAATCACTTGTGCAGCTGACTTGTTTTTTTGCAAAATATTTTGCAGAACAGCTGTGATCCTTTATAATGCTACTGACGTAGCCATAGGTGTCAACAGTGTCATTTAGCTTCGGAAAAAAGGGTCAGGGTTGCTGCTGTCATTCTGAGGGATCTGTGCTGAGCCTGGATCAGTTTTGACAGCACCAACTCCAATGGCTGTTTTACTAACTCATTCCTAACTTCCACTGAAGAAGACTTTAGCACCTTCATAGGTGGCCTGTGTCAGTACTCCATCAGTGACAAATTGGCAGTTTCCCCCCTACTATTCTATTGCAGAATAATTGGCTGAATTCTGTCTTGCTCATCTCCCCTGCACTTCCCTTCCCTTGTACTCCCTCCGTTGTCTAGTGGCTAGAGATGCACCTGGTGCCTTTATCATTAGGTATATATGTTGTCTTAATTTAGAATCTGTACAATAATTAACTGATTCCTGTTTGGAAAATAAGCTAAGAGTAGACACTGTCCACCTGACAACAGCATAATATGAGTACAGAAAGGGCAGATCAGCCAGATTTATGCTGTATCTGACATGAGTTTTTCTTAGCAGTAGATCCATTATCTCTGCTTTTTTACCTTCCCCTCCTCACACTAAAATGCAGACGCAGTGTCTGTAGAAATAAATTCTGAAATAACAGAGAAACCTAAAAATCCCGCACTAGCCCAAAATCTTTACAGCAAAGGTTTCTGCAGAGACCCTTCTGCTGTTCTGCAAATATCGTTCACTCTTCAGGCCTCCTTCAAGTACTGGCTTCTGCTACTCTGGCTGCAATACTGCAAGTTACCGCTGGCTGTGAGGGTGCCCAGCACCTGGCGAGAAGTCACCTCCTCCCTTGAGATAGATAGACAGAAAAAAGCCATGAAAGAACAATGTCTGTGAGTCCCTGCCAAGTTGTGCTGGCACTCAAGTAGCTGGAACTGGCGGGATTCCATTACAAGAGAACCACTGGTTTCATCTCAGTTCTATAATTATCCTTATTGTTATCCAATAAAGCCTTGGAAAGGTTCTTAGAAAGCTTTTTGTTTATAAGGGAAAGAAAGGTTGGTATGACAAGACTCTTGATCCTAATGCTGTATTGCTGGCAAAACTGTGTTCATCTCGCTTTGTGCACTTTAATGTTTTCCTAACAGTTTTGTTATTAGTATGTAAATTGACTACATATCCTGCAGTAATAAAATGGTGTAATTTTGAGAGATTAAGTAAGTGCTGTCAAATCCCATTGCAGAAAAGTACTTTGTAAATGCACTGTTAAATGTGTACAGATTTGAAATGTGACTAAATGCCAGTAGGCCTAACCCTGCTAGAGGAGGGCTCGAGAAATGGACACTGTCTCTGTAAAATCAGGATTCTATACAGTGAATAAATCTGATTTGTACAGGGCTTGGCTCATCTTGTGGTACTAAGATCTGACTTTATCTGCTCATATACAGTGGTGGGGTTTTTTCTACAGTTAATATTTTTATATATTATTATGAAAAATGCTTTTAAATTGAATTGAAAGGTAAATTCATGTATTCATGAACAGTTTTCTTTTCAGTATTTAATGTGTTGGGCAGCAGGCTTGAAACTGATGTAAAAAGGATGAAGGTAACCATTTTTGAATGTACTGACTTCAAGCCACTATTTAATTCCACCATAATGTACCCTAGGAAGTGGCCTGACTTTTTCTTTCTTTATTCCATTTTGTCGGAGAGCCTTGCATCCCTCTGTTCCTAATGAAGGCGGTCTGAGCAGCTGTGTGTTCAATACTGAAGAAAATCAGGCCATTTACTTAAAGACTTAATTATGGGTTTAGAAGCCTAATCTTAGGCACCTAATTTTTGAAGTCTTGGTTGTATGCATTTTTTTTTCAGGAATGTTTCTATCCTGCTAAATGAGAACATCACTTAAAGAAATGCAGGTCTGTGAGTACATCTTAATCTTCAGTCTGGTAGATATTGCAACTCTTAATGTCTTCATAGCTTTTTGCCTTTATAGTTTACACTTTCAGTGAATTAACTTGTTCTTTGTGTGTATTGACAACCCATCACAGAGAAGGGTGACGCAGGGTGGCAGCCCACCACTGCAGTTGGTATGTCAGAGCTGGGAGCAGCCAGAGCTGTGGTAAAAGGGGACATGAAGTAAAAAAGGACACCTGAGTTCTTGCTG